GGGTCGCTGGGAGATTTTGAGGAACTTTGGAATAATTTTGGGGGGTTTTGGGAGTTTTTGGACGGATTTTTCAGGAGCTTGGAGGAATTTTGGGAGCATTAATGTGGCGTTTATGCAAAAGAGATGTAAATTAGATGCAAATGAGGGCAGAAAGATTTTGGGCAAGCAGGAAATGAAATTAGGAGTCGATTTTTTTGATTTTTCAGGGACAATTTTTGGGAAAGTTTTGACAAAATTTAAGGGGTATAACCAAACAAAATGGGGCGTGGCTTTTCTGATTATGCTAATGAGATGCAAATGAGCACCAAAAGGGAAAATGGGACGCAGGAAATAGAATTTGGAGCTGTTTTTTGGGGTTTTTCAGGTCTAATTTTGGGGGATTTAAACAAAATTTAAGGGGTAGAACCAAACAAAAGGGGCGTGGCTTTTCAGATTATGCAAATGAGATGCAAATGAGCCTAGAAAAGCACAGTAGAAGCAGAAGGAGATTAAATTTGGGGTGGATTTTTGGGATTTTTTAGGCCAAATTTTGGGATGTTTAGAAGAGAAAGGGTGAAGCCAAATAAGGGGCCGTGGCATTTGCGGTTATGCAAATGAGATGCAAATGAGAACTAAATGGAAAAGGGGGAAGGCAGGAAATTAAGTTTGAGTTCGATTTTTGGGGTTCTTTAGGGCCAATTTGGGGATGTTTGGAAGAAAAATTAAAGGTTGGAGCCAAATAAAGGGGTGTGGCATTTCTGATTATGCAAATGAGATGCAAATGAGCACTAAAAGGAAAAGTGGAAGGCAGGAAATTAAATTTGAGGTCGATTTTTGGGGTCCTTTAGGGACAATTTTGGTGTGTTTGGAACGAAATTTAAAGGGCGGAGCCAAATAAAAGGGGCGTGGCCTTTCTGATTATGCAAATGAGATGCAAATGAGCACTAAAAGGAAAAGGGGTAAGGCAGGAAATTAAATTTGAGGTCGATTTTTGGGGTTCTTTAGGGACAATTTTGGGATGTTCAGAAGAAAAATTAAAGGGTGGAGCCAAATAAAGGGGTGTGGCATTTCAAATTATGTAAATGAGATGCAAATCAGCCCAGAAACGCACAGGAGAAGCAGAAGGAAATTAAATTTGAGGTCGATTTTTGGGATTTTTGTAGGCCAAATTTTGGGGTGTTTGGAAGAAAAATTAGTGTGTGGAGCCAAATAAANGTTTGGAGGAATTTTGGGAATGTTAACGTGGTGTTTATGCAAATGAGATGTAAATTAGATGCAAATGGAGGCAGAAAGATTTGGGGCATGCAAGAAATGAAATTGGGGGTCGATTTTTTTTGATTTTTCAGGGACAATTTTTGGGGGTTTGGGACAAAATTAAAAGGGTAAAACCAGAAAGGGGGCGTGGTTTTTATGATTATGCAAATGAGATGCAAATGAGCAGCAAAAGGGAAAAGGGGACGCAGGAAATTAAATTTGGTGTTGGTTTTTTGCGATTTTTCAGGTCTAATTTTGGGGGATTTAAACAAAATTAAAGGGGTAGAACCAAACAAAAGGGGCGTGGCTTTTCTGATTATGCAAATGAGATGCAAATCAGCCCAGAAGGGCACAGGAGAAGTAGAAGGAAGTTAAATTTGGGGTTGATTTTTGGGATTTTTTAGGGCTAATTTTGGGATGTTTGGAAGAAAAATTAGCGTGTGGAGCCAAATAAAGGGGGCGTGGCATTTCTGGTTATGCTAATGAGATGCAAATGAGCACTAAAAGGAAAAGGGGGAAGGCAGGATATTGAATTTCAGTTCAATTTTTGGGGTTCTTTAGGGACAATTTTTGGGTGTTCAGAAGAAAAATTAAAGGGTGGAGCCAAATAAAGGGGTGTGGCATTTCAAATTATGTAAATGAGATGCAAATCAGCCCAGAAAGGCACAGGAGAAGCAGAAGGAAATGAAATTTGGGGTCGATTTTTGGGATTTTTTAGGCCAAAGTTTGGGATGTTTGGAAGAAAAATTAATGGGTGGAGCCAAATAAAGGGGCATGGCTGTTCCCATTATGCAAATGAGATGCAAATTAGTCCAGAAAAGCACAATAAAACCTGAAGGAGATGAAATTTGGGGTTGATTTTTGGATTTTTTTAGGGCCAATTCTGGGATGTTTGGAAGAAAAATTAAAGGGCGGAGCCAAATGAAAGGGGCATGGCATTTTTGATTATGCAAATGAGATGCAAATGAGCACTAAAAGGAGAAGGGGAAGGCAGGAAATTTAATTTGAGGTCGATTTTTGGGGTCCTTTAGGGACAATTTTGGGGTGTTTGGAACGAAATTTAAAGGGCGGAGCCAAATGAAAGGGGCGTGGCGTTTCTGGTTATGCAAATGAGATGCAAATGAGCCCAGAAGGGCACAGGAGAAGCAGAGGGAAATTAAATTTGGGGTCGATTTTTGGGGGTCCTTCAGGGCCAATTTTGGGGTGTTTGCAACGAAATTTAAAGGGCGGAGCCAAATAAAAGGGGCATGGTATTTCTCGTTATGCTAATGAGATGCAAATGAGAACTAAATGGAAAAGGGGAAGGCAGGAAATTAAATTTCAGATCGATTTTTTGGGTCCTTTAGGGACAATTTTGGGGTGTTTGGAATGAAATTTAAAGGGCGGAGCCAAATAAAAGGGGCGTGGTGTTTCTGGTTATGCAAATGAGATGCAAATGAGCACTTGAAGGAAAAGGGGGAAGGCAGGAAATTAAATTTGAGGTTGATTTTTGGGGTCCCTTAGGGACAATTTTGTGGTGTTTGGAACGAAATTTGGAAATTTTAAGGGCGGAGCCAAATAAAAGGGGCGTGGCCTTCCCAATGATGCAAATGAGATGCAAATGAGCACTAAAAGGAAAAGGGGGAAGGCAAGAAATTAAATTTGAGGTCGATTTTTGGGGTCTTTAGGGACAATTTTGTGGTGTTTGGAACGAAATTTAAAGGGCGGAGCCAAATGAAAGGGGCGTGGCCTTTCCGATGATGCAAATGAGATGCAAATGAGATGCAAATTGCGCACAGGAAGGCGCAGGAGAACCAGAAGGAGATGAAGCTGCTGCTGGACATGTACAAATCGGCGCCCAAGGAGCAGCGGGACAAGGTGACGCTGATGGCGGCCGAGAGGAAGAGCAAGGCCGAGGTAATTAGCGCTAATTAATTAATTAATGCTAATTAGTGGGTCATTAACACCGCTGGTTTGGTTTGTATAATCACACGTCTTAATTAGTGGTTAATGAGATGTTGTTTGTTAATTAAAGTTGCGTGAGACGAAAAGAGGAGTGAAATTTTGTTACTTCTATGCTAATTAATGCTAATTAAGCAAAAAAATTAGCCTAGATGTGTGTAATTAGGTATTAATTATTGCTAATTAGGCAGAAAAAAAATGCAGGAATCTCTTGATGTTAATTGGTGGTAATTAAGCAAAAAAATGGGATTGAATCCAAAAACTCCCATTCATTCCTATGGGTTACTTAATGAAATGGTTATTAGCTGGTTAATTATTGAATAATTAATGACTAATTAATAAATAATGAGCTGGAGGAGCTGCAGTGTCACAGTCCAAGACCTCCCATTCTGTTTTTATGGGTTAATTAAGGAAATGCTGACAAAGTATTGGTAATTAATGGTTATTAATACCTATTTAACCATTAATTAGTGATTAATTAACAAGCTGGATTAGCAGAAGCGCCGCGAGCCCAAGATCTTCCATTCATTTCTATTGGTTAATAACTGAACAATTACTAATAAATTTTTAATGTATTAATAACGATTAATAAATTACCAACTAATGATAAATAATGATTAATGAATGATTAATTAATGATTAATTAGTGAGCTGGAGGAGCTGTGGTGCTGGTGGCAGGAACTGGAGGAGTCCAAGATCTCCCATTCATTCCTATGGGTTAATAATTGAACAATGATTAATAAATTAATAATAAATCTTCCATTTATTCCTATGGGCTAGTAACTGGACAATGGCTAATAAATAAATAATAAGTTATTAATTAATGAATAATTAATGAGCTGGAATAGATGTGGTTTTGGTGGAGGAGCGCGAGCGCCGCGAGTCCAAACTCTCCCATTCTTTCCTATGGCCTAATAACTGAACAATGGCTAATAAATTATTAATGATTTATTAATTAACAATTAATTAATGATTAATTAACGAGCTGGAGGAGCTGCGGTGCCGCTGGCGGGAGCTGGAGGAGCGGGAGTGCCGCAAATCCAAGATTTTCCATTCATTTCTATGGACTAATAACTGAACAATTACTAATAAATTATTAATAAATTATTAATTACCAATTAATTACCAATTAATTGATTCGCTGGAGGAGCTGCGGTGCCGCTGGCGGGAGCTGGAGGAGCGCGAGCGCCGCGAGTCCAAACTCTTCCATTCATTCCTATGGGTTCATAACTGATCTATAACTAATAAATTATTATTAAATTATTAATTAACGATTAATTAATGATTAATTAACGAGCTGGAGGAGCTGCGGTGCCGCTGGCGGGAGCTGGAGGAGTCCAAACTCTTCCATTCATTCCTATGGATTAATAATTGAACAATGATTAATAAATAATAATAAGTCTTCCATTCATTCCTATGGGCTAATAGCTAAACAATGACTAATAAATAAATAATAAGTTATTAATTAACGATTAATTAACGAGCTGGAATAGATGTGGTTTCGCTGGAGGAGCGCGAGCGCCGCAAGTCCAAACTCTTCCATTCATTCCTATGGGTTTATAATTGAACAATGACTAATAAATTATTAATAAATTATTAATTAACGATTAATTACTGGTTAATTAACAAGCTGGAGGAGCTGCGGTGCCGCTGGCGGGAGCTGGAGGAGTCCAAGATCTCCCATTCATTCCTATGGGCTAATAATTGAACAATGATTAATAAATAATAATAAGTCTTCCATTCATTCCGATGGGCTAATAACTGAACAATGACTAATAAATAAATAATAAGCTATTAATTAATGGTTAATTAAAGATTAATTAATGAGCTGGAATAGATGTGGTTTTGCTGGAGGAGCGCGAGCGCCGCGAGTCCAAACTTTTCCATTCATTCC